CAGACAATTGCAGCGCACGTACTTCAAGTGTAAAGCGGTTAAGTCAACAGAACAGAACAAAGTACCTCGCGGGCGGCGTTTTTCCGCTTCTCGATCTTCTCAAAGTGACTTTCGTCATCTTGGTCCTCGGGAATCGGCGAGGGTTCGATGAGTTTGATAGTATGATCCACTCCACTGACGGCGAGATCTTTAAATAAAGGCAAATTTGAGAGCATAGATAGGTGAAACTAATCGATGGGTGACAGAGCTCTTCAAGAAAGGAAAGGGAATGGAAAACGGCAGTCCTTCCAGGCAACGAACACATAACCCTTGACGACCAAACGACCACTCAACATGAGTCTGTTTAAGTTCATCTTGAAGAAAGCAACTATGGTGGCACCAAATGTGGCCTTAAAAGTACGGCAGGTGGCAAAGATAAAATAAAACGGGACAACTAAACAATGCATTGATAAAGGCGAGGGTGGAGTATGTCATAGATTGTGAACTTAAGTTACCTCTTCATCAAGTGGAATACCTTCAGGAATTGGTTCCATAAAGAAAGGCCCTGTGTTCGGTAAGAACATCGACATTTTTATAGATCTGGATGATTTTCGATGCAAATGAAGGCAAAACCGACTTGTAGGGCCATTTAAATATTTATTTATCCCACCTAACTGCCTAGTGTACTTTGTGGTCAAACATTTAATGCTTGGTTAGTGAGTGTAAATGAATATTTAATTGTGGCGGAAGTGATCAAAAATATTAAATCAAATAAGATTATGCTTGTCTTAATAAACTAAAATAGAATAAAATTCCATCAACCTGAACTCCGATTGCGCAGAATACGGATGCCAATTTAGAGAAATTCGACCTTATGTTGGCAGAATTTAACGAAAATGGAAATTTGACCTCCTATTGGTGGAATGTATGAAAGAGGGAAAAGTCGGGCTACCGAAAATTTAAAAACAGTTTTTTTTATAATAAGTCGACGGGATTTAGAGCCTCTAAAGTTAGTCCTACCCAAATGAATTTCATGGGGGTGGGGGGGAGTTCGCATACAGCACTCCATGGGTGGATATTTACACAACCGAAAACAACGGACACGGAAATACGCCACGCAGTTGCATATTTATATTTTATCCTCTGAAAAGATCAGGTGAGAATGGGCGTCGGTGCATTTACCGTTTACTTCTAGCAAAGGGGCATTACGGTCAAAGTTCTTGGCCAAGCTGTTGAAAGCATATTCAGCAGTCAAACAAATAACACATTATTCTGAGCAACTCATTCAAACAACGTCAGTTTAAAATAAGTCCTATAAGATGAAATGTAAACCGAAATCTGTTTTCGGTTGTAGAGGATTTCTTAAGCAGAGTGGCAATATTAATTACCGCACAGCATAAACGCCGTATATTTCAGTCGTGTCAGAATGCCAAATTTCTGAAAGGTTTTTTTTTCGGTTGCTCTCGGAAATTACACTCTGTGTAGGGTAGTGAATAAGTAGTACTCATTTTGTCATCGATTTCCCATGCATTTATTAATTCAATTATTTTATTTAAATAAGGGTCGGGGAGCAAATTACATCTTCAAATTTTATACTCGAGGAAAGTGACGTTTGGATTTAAATAATTTCTAATCAGGAAATATTTAAGGACCGTAAGATATCCACTCATAAAGCACTGTATCCTTGCATTTATTAATGCTTCTTGTTAAGAATACTACTAGGCTTGTATTTTTCTTAAGCGGAAAATATATAGGCTTTATTTTGAAAACTCTGAATGTAGGCGTAACAGTAGGTTGTGTTGGGCAAAATTTTCAGGAATTTAGAAAGAAAATGCAAAAATTTGGAGAAGGCGTAATTTATTACTCAAGGAGTACAGAAAGGCTATTTTTCTACATATTTTTTGCCGAAAATATGCTTGAATTTATAAGAACATTGAAAAAATGATGAAATTTATTCAGTATATTTTCGACACTGGATCCCCCGGTCGTCGTCAGACTTGAGAAAAATGTGCAAATGGTAAAAAACTATGCACCCGAGAGTCCGTCGCAGGCTTCAGCACGCAGGGGTGCAATGGCGAGCCTCCACATGGGGTCAGGGCCTTGCTGATCACCCTGAAATCGGGGACAGGTAAGTTCTTTGCACATTTTTCCCAAGTCTGACGACGACCTGGGGATCCAGCGTCGAACATTTACTGAATACATTTCTTCATTTTCACAAAGGACGCCTTTCCTTGAAACATCGAACAATAAATGATAAAATGCATGTTAGCTAAGTAGTAATTTTTACAGAGTATATTTTTTAAAGGCAGCCGGAAAGACGCCTGTGCTTAAGTCGCCAGCCTGATGTGACTGGAAGAAATTGAAATTATAATGTACAATAATTAATCTTTCACGTCTACTTAAGCAATTATTTTTATTTGACAACACATCTGGAAATTTAGATTAACTCATTATGAGAGCATTTACTGTAACCAGCTAAAACATTCTCAGGGCTCAATGGCGAGCGATAGATCAGGACTGGCAAAGCCTGCAGGAAGATTTTGGACAAAAGGAGGAGCGAAGATGAGAGTAAGCCGATTGATGAATAAAAAAACTTACAAGGAAAAAACGGATGCAGCTGCAGACTATTTACCACAACCTCATCCGTCTTGATTGCGCAGACCGGCTGAGCATCACTGCAGCGCCAAACCAGCAAAGTAAAACTTGCTTATTCCTCCTTTTATTTGTTTTACAAATTAACGCATAGGTTTACATTATGATGTTCACTCTAGTCCCCCAGTCTCGGATTTTTGACGGGGCTACGCGGGGCTGGTGTTGACAGGGGTGTCAGTTGTCTTGCCTTTTTGTTTTCCAATTATTACGCGTTTTTTCGTTGCCCTATTTTAGCATATTATAATGCTTTTACTTATTATTCCCTATTTTTCTTTGGTATATTTTTTTAAACATGTCGTACTGCCCCCTGTTGTACCGGCAGAATTCTGGGGTAAGGGGTATCTATCGTGCGCTACATAACCTAATTTTGCTCCACTCGCGCGCAATCATGGCTTTATTTGTCCGAACTTTTAAAATCTTACTTGAGTCCATCGTCAAAGAAAAAAGCGACAAAAACAAGCAATATTTATAGGAGACAGGGGCCAATAAAACACTGGTGACGCTCGTCCGGAAGTGACTGCGCAGGGCTTTGTATGCCTGCGCCAGATCGTTAAATCGATTGACTGAGGTCTCATCCGAGGCTCAGACGAAGAGACTTCTCCTTTGCTGATACACGTAGCTAGACTGAAAAAGCTGACTCTATTCAGGAATAAAAGGTATGATTTGAGCTGTCGCTTGATTTGCTACTAAATAAGCACAAGAAAGAGTATTTACATGCATCTTTTCTATAGAATGTGTTTGAATTTTTAGGGACATGAAACAAACGTATACTCCTTAAGTAGTAAGTTTTACAGAGTGTAGCTGTTGAGGCCAGCCGGAAGGAAGTCTGTTATAAAGTTGCCACATTTCTGAATGTTACTTCATGAGATAATGCATCAATGTACTATAGCTAGTTAAAGCACTCTCGGAACTTAATGGTCAGGCATAGGTCCGCACCTGCTCAGCCTGCAGGAAGATTTTGCACAGGAGGAGAAGCGAAGATGAGAGTAAGCCGACTGATGAATAAAAAACTTACAAGGGAGAAACGGATGCGGCTGCAGACGATTTACCACAACTTCGTCCGCCTTGATTGCGCAGACTGGCTGAGCATCACTGCGGCGCCAAACTAGTACATTGCCACACTCGGAACCACTGAGCACGTATTCCCGACCCCAGAAGCAGGAGTCTTTGATCTGCAGGTTGAGAGGCAAGTGAAGCATGAACGTGCATTAGGGCGAAAGAAATGCTACCAGTTGGGAACACCAGAGCAAAAAAAGGCGGGCGTTATCTTCAAAGAATTCAGAGATTGCACGCTGGAATAGGTGTACCCCATCGTAATTACACGCAACCTTGCAAAAATAGTTCGAGGGGGAGGGGGGTGATTGAAGTTAGGAAACGGGAATGCGTACATCCAGTGTAGGCACGTCGATAGTAGGAGCACTAGAAATGTCCGTAACTTACAATGTATGAAAGGTTTAGGGCAAAGCAAGTTCTCGAGCAGTGATGGAGATTGAAAACACTCAGTAAACTGACATGCAAACACTGCAAGTACACGAATGAATGAAATCGTTCGCGTTCTAGGTATATTTGCATGCGTAAGGAAGAAGGATTGTCGAGCAGCGGATCGATTTGTTTATTATCCTGAACTTTCAAACTCTTACACGAGTCCTACGTCCGAGGTAAGAAACAGCAACAAAAAGAGGGCTAATCATAGTCCGCGTACAGTGGTCGCCAAAGACCACACAACTTTCATAACTTTGTAAAAGTTTGATCATTACTCTAATGCCAGTGCGAATGCATTTAGATAAACTTTGAAATAATAATGAACAGTATTAGGCATATTAAGTACTTAAAAGAACTATAGG